ACTAAAAATATTCTATAATATACAGATATACACATCAAATTTATAACTCCCTTTAAACATCTCAAGCGCCTAGTTTAAAGTTTATAAGAATTTAACGTTTATATATATATATTAACCATACAAATACAAAACTTCATTGTTTCTTTTAAAACCGAAATCGGTAAACCATATTTATATTTGGTAAAGAGGATGGTATGACAGTTTTTTGAACAAAATGTTTTACTTCTTAAAGTTAAAGTGTGTAACAAGAATCTCATACTCCTTAATATGTGTAACGAGTATATTTTAGTTTCATAATAATAATTGCATTATATTGTTGTGTCAAAACGTCCACGCGCGAAATGATCAGCATTTTGAAACAAAGAAGCTAGTATTATTGTAATAAGTACGTACATTTTAAGATGCGTAGTACGTACGTACGTACGCTCATATAGAAACAAGCATCACGTGATAAACATGCTTGAGATTCTAAATTTACATTTTTACGAAAAAGTAGAGAATAATTGTATCGACAAAAAAAACCAGAGAATATTTATATTGACGAAAAAGAATAATATACAATGCAATAGTGCAAGATATAATGAATGAACAAATAAATACAATTAAGAAAATACAATTAAGGATAACATTCGACAATATCCTAATACCCTCAAATAATATTCAAAAAAAAAAAAAAGAAGACACATTTGCAGCAATTTCCAGAATTTACCACGAATCCTCGCTTTTTTCAGTACAAATTTTTTTCTGAACATAAAATCTATGAATATTAAGAACAGTATTATATTCTTCCATTTCCTTTTGACATATTTTAAACTTTTCTTCAAGTTCTTGTGTTGATATACCCATATATTCATGTAATCGAACTGCAAAGTGAGAAGCCTTGTAGTTTTTAAAAGCCTACGAAATGTTTAAAGAATAAATCAACAATTTACATTCACATTTAATTTACATTTATATTTATATTTACATTTATATTTTATATTTGCATTTATATTTATGAATAAATTAAATAAATTAAAGTAATACTAACCAATTCTCCAACAGTTCCATTACCAAGAGGAGTAACAGTTTGACCAGTGAATATTTCATCCTCGAGTTCATCAATATTTTCGAAATATTTATAAACACTAGGACCAATATTCATATTTATTCCTCTTGAAATCAAAAGCATAGTGTCTTGATTTTGAATCTCACGGTTTACAGGACCAAAAGTAGGGTTTATATAGTCACTTTCCATTAATTCAATCCAACCACCCGGCTTTGCCACCCTAACTAAATCATCTACAACATTTTGCCATTGACTTTCAGTTATTGAAGTAAACATATGAGACATAAATACGAAATCGAAGGTATCGTCAGGAAATGGCAAACCATCATGTATGTTACATTGTAAGAAACCCACATTTGAAGGTTGTTGATCCTTTGGGATCATAGATGAGATGTCAATACCAACGAATGTAGAATTTGGAAATTGGGTTGCCATGTCTAATAGCCAGCCACCAGGACCGCATCTTTAATGAAAAAAAAATAAATATAATTATAATAAATATAATAAATACAATTATATAAACTTTAGAATTATATAATTACGAATTTTATACTTTTAATGATTAAATTTAAAGGATTACTTACCCGACATCCAAAACTCTCATGCCACCCTTGGCCAATTCATTTTCCAGGGGTGAATAGAAAATATTACCTTTCCAGCAATATCTTGAAATAGAATAATTTAATTTTAAGCGATAGGTTTCTTCAGTATCACAAGGCAGAGGATATTTTACACCGTCAAGAAAATGATATCGACGACCAGATTTATAACGAAAACCATCCACTATCGAATCATCTTCTCGAGTTGGATCTAAGTATTCATAATTGGATATTGGACGCCTTGTTTGAATCTGAGGTTTTTGACTTTGATTCGTTGATTGATTCATTATCTCTTCTAAAAATGTGAATTGATTCTATGTATGTGTTTTATATATGCGGAAAGTTATATAAATTACGATAAAAAGAATGTGTGTTATATAAATTACGATAAAAAGAATGCGGTTATTAATTTATATGCGAGTATGAATAAATGATAATTTGAATGATATATATATACAAATGTTATTTTGTTTATTAAATGAGTTTGTGAAAATAATTAACGTAAACGTTTCTATTTTAAAAATCTTTTCAAAATTATCAATTCTATCGTTTTTCTTTCATAAAATTTTCTACCAGAAATTTGAATTAACAAAGAGCATCACATATATAAATACTGAAATATAGATAGGTAGAAAATTATTTTGGAAATTTTCTAAAAAAAAAAATTGAAGATTGAAATAGCAGGATTTATATATAGTATATAACTTTAACAATAATCATATTATTATTTCCGCTCAAAAAATATTTTAATCCCATATATTTAAACAAAGGTTTGTTGCCATTATCTTTCTTTGTAACTGAATTGAGATTTAAAGATTTTGCGCATGATAAAAAAGCACAATCATCTATATTGTTAAATTAGGAATGGTGTGATGTAAGCTCTCACGATATTATTTTGCAAATCAAAAATTTTGTACCATAGAATCAATTTCTTATATTCTAAATACGTGCTGTTTGCCTAATTTGGTACACAGCAACCATGCGAACCATACAATAGAGTATACTCGCTGTAGATCAAAAAATCGTTGTATGATTGTATTTGTTGTTTACTTTGTTTCATATGGGAACCGCTAAATAATGATCCGGTTACGTTATTTTGTTTTATAATAATAATAATAATAATGATCAACTTCCCCATTATTGGCGGTTACCAAACTATATAAAATATCGTTATAATTATTGATTAAATATCGTTATACTTATTGATTTAATAATGTCTTATTCTATCTTATTCACTATATACTTACCTAACTGTGTGATGTCATATACTTTTTATTTGAAATAAGCAATTGGTACTTATTATTGTACATTTGTTTGTACTATACCTTCATACAAGTATGTAACTACGAAAGTACATTGATATAAGTACTTACGTACATTCATACGTAGCTGATTATAATCAAGTTTAGCCATATAATTAAACCATATCATATAATTTTAAATACTATATATTAAAATTATATATTAATTCATATATTAGTTCATATATTAGTTCATATATTAGTTCATATATTAAACAAATAACCGTATAACACATTCATATGTAAACATTTTCGTGTAAAGCGAATTGTTTATCATGTTGTTTCTTCTTATCATTTTGTTTTTCCTTATGACTTTTGAACGTATAAAAATGATTGATGGAATATTAATTCTACCGAAAACCGAGATAACATTATTCCACTTTGGGCAACAACACGTATTTGACGAAATTAGTAAAGTATAAGAATTACATAAGTAAGTACTCTGTTTACGTACGTACGTACTTACATACTTGGTTAAAACTAATTTTACAAGCTGTAATTAATAAACATTTCAATATACTAAACTAGAAAGTAGGTTTGCTTTTCTATCAGTTCTTTGTTTTCTTAGAAGATACAAATAATACCATTTTACATCTTTTTCAAGACCCTATAATAGGAAATTCACAATATTTCCCTGATTTCTACGTACATACGTACGTACAAGCTCTAATTGGGGTTTGAAATTTAATCTAAACCCAATCGTGCGATTCATATATAAATATGTATAGTACGTACGTACGTACCTCAAATGCCGATTGGCTTAAATTAGAGTTTTTGCTAGGGTATGGATAAGATTATAGTTTAAGCCAATCAGCACCGATCATTTCACAAAAAAAACATTTTTTTTAAGCTTTGTACATAAGGTAACAATTCACCTCACGAGTCACAAATAGCTACGGCTAAATAAATTATCAAGTTTAAAATTTATGGTTTATGTTGCAAAAAAAAAACGACTACTTTATTAAATGTTTAAATATACATAAATATTTTTTTTTTTTGAGTATCCCTGTTGTAATCACAACTAGGGGCGCAGGTGCGCTCTTTTATTAAAATATTATAAAAGGCTTAGTTACTTTTTAGATATTTACATATTAGTTTGAAAGATTTAGATC